TTTAAGTTTATTTGCAATGGCTTTTACAAAGAATTATATTTCTTGTCTGATTTATTTTATAATTTTGACAGTTTCAATCTTTCACATAATATCTATATTTATATATTTGTGTTACTCCTAAAAAGTTTACTTCCTTGCGCACTTTTTTTGCCAGTATTTCTCACGCTCACATTTACATTTTCTATTGGGATTTTTTTACTTGCAAAAAATCCAACCCAAGGGAGTAAGAATTTGAAATTTTTAAAAATTCCATCAATAATTCAAAAAGTAAAACATCGAAAAATAATGATCCATTTTTCTTGTAATATCTCTTTTTTTTATCCTCTACTTAAATCCTTCAAAAATTTTGATTTATGCCTGTATGAGAAAAGATATTTTTGGGTTGTAATTAAATAATATTTATTATTTATCTATCGTAATTTCACAATATTCACTTATTTTTACAAGTAAAATCTGAAAAAAGCAAATTAAAAGTTGAACAAAATTACTCAGAAGTTAGCTTCATTCATTATCGTAAGTAAAATTTAGCTATTATTAATCACATTAATAATATTTACTAGCATTAGACGTGCTTACTTCTTGAACTTTCAAACTTTTTTCTAAAATTATTTTCTACAAATAATTGAAATCGAAAGGATAACAATTTAAATAAAAGTTTTTCTTTTTTTCTACAATTATTTTTCAACAATTTACATTAAAAAAATGAGCTTTTTCAGCAAACTGCTTAACTTTGCCATAAGTATTTGAAAGTAACTCTAACAGTCATCAAATAAATTGCTTTCTTTTGTTTTATTCATAGTTTTATTTTCAAAAATTTTCACCTAATTTAATTTGATCTTATGCTAAATGAAAAATATTTTTTGGCAAGCTTACATATTGCATATTAGAAATATATATTAAAGGTGTAAAATTTTCTGCAAAAAAAAAACGAGAATTGTGTTATAAAGTTTATATACTTCATTACTTGAAGCATATTTTGATTATTGCATTTATACTTACTTGAATGCTTTCATTGCAAAACATCTGATACTTTTACTTTACTACTTACATTTTAGACCATTGAAAGTGAAAGTTTGCTGTTAGCCGTAGTCATCTTTCAATTTTACTACCTTATAGTTCGTTCTGATTTTTAATGCAACAAAATCTTATTAGATGCTCATCTAAAATATGAATAAAAATGATTGTACACTCTAATTTATGAACATATTGTTTTGTTTAATTGTTAAGCCAACTTTAATAATTAATATTCAAGTGGTAAAATAATTTAGTAATTGCATCTCTTTTTTTATGCTCCTCAATTTTTTACTTGTTACTGTTACTACTCAGCATTTTGAGTACTTGTATATTTTTTATTTTTTAAATCAAATTTTTGCAGATTTCAGATAAATGTGAATATTTTTTCAGCATTAAGCTTAATCTCTGAATTACTTTAAAGACTAGCAGCAATTTCTAAAGTAATCTCCTTAATCAGTAGCATTACATATTTGTAATTTACTTTGCTTCCCTATAAATTAAAATAAAGTGAATTAAATCAAAATGACTGATTGCATTTATGGATGAATTTTACTTTTCAGTTCTAAAATAAATCATTTGCTTATTTATGAAACATAATTGTTTTTCATGCTTTTCATGAATTTACTTTTAAGTATTGCCTAAGTGACTTTCAAAAATTAATTCTAACAGATATGATATGGTATGCAAAAATAAATTAATCTAAAAAACTGGCAATTTGAAGCTATTTATTTGATAAAAAAATACTTAATAATTTATATATCATTATTGCATACCATGTAATACTAGTCTTATATACTTGTGTGCTACATTTAAAATTTCATACAACCAGACAATCTAATCATTTTGATAAGTTCTACTGCTAAATACTTGACTGATCACTTCAAAGTAGAAAAGCTTATCGACTAATGATATCTGCATTAATTCATTATGAATATAGTATGATGTGAACTTTCAAATTCACTATAAATAGATGCAATACTTCAAAATATTTGACCTCAATCATTTGATATTTACGAAAGAAAAAATGCATTTAATGCTTGTTTGGTATTTTTAAATTTATGCTTATTGCATAATTTTATCAAAAAATTAACTTATCATGCAGTGTTTATCAAATTATTTTGAGCAGAATGTAAATCAGTTTAGATGATTAATTTTTATGCTCACGTATGGATGTTTTCATGGATATTAATTATATTAATTGTGTACTTAATTATTCACATGACCTACCCTAGTTTATAGCTTATCTTAATTGCTGCTTAAGTGACTTACTTTCTCGCAAATTAGCATGCATGCATCAATTTCGCTTGTTTTTAATTTTATTCCCAATGTCTTCATCTTATTAATATAAATATTTTCAAATTAAATTATTTATTTTTACACAGGTTCTCAAACAATGAATAATTTTAGGTTAGATTTAGGTGTCCAAAAAAAAAGTTTGAAATTATTAATTCCAAACAGTTTTATTTACTAACTTTTATTAATCTTTTGTATCAATAATATCTTTAACAGTTTTATTTTACACGCTTTCTAAGTTATTACTGCAAATTAGGCTTGAAGTAATTAGTAAACTACCAAAAACACAGCACGATTTTTTTAATGGATTACGAGAGTACTTTGTTTTGCTATCTCACAAAATAGCATTAATTATGTTTGATTTTGATAATATTCTCTACTTTGTCTACATTCTCAAGCATAAAATACAATAAACACATTAAACTAGACTGATCAAGTAAGCAAGTCAGTCAGTAGATGTTTCAGAAATAATGGAAGATGGGCTTTGAGAGTGTTGGTGCTCATGAAGTTACTAGTGGTAAAAGACGAGAGCTCCAAGATTCTGGGCCACCGCTATTTAAATTCACAAATTTCGCTATATCTAGGCTGTTTACAACTGGCCATTTGCATTTGGGCCATGGCCCAGCATGCCTTTTCTATTCTTCACTATAACCAAGCAAGACTAACTTTTGACTTGAAATTTATTTTGTAAAATAATACAGTAAATGTAGTATAGTTTATTGGAATCATTGCAAAAAAATTCTTCCTACTTATCATAGAAAATTGAAATCTTATTTGATTTATATCTTGAAATTAGAGACACATATTATATTATTTAAATTACGGTATTGACCATAATTTTCGATTTTTAAACTAAGACTAAAAAGTATGCTCCTCTTATATAAAACTTCCATTCTAAAATAAGCATAATATCATAATAAATTCACACTTTACTGCAATTTACGATGTATTTAAAAAATATTATTAGTAATTTTTTTTAATAGTCCACTTTTTTCCTTCATATTTTAATTTCAGAATTCAGTATAGAATAAAAAACTATACAGTAGTATTAAGTGCTATATGAACAGTAAACGATTGCAGATATTATTCTGTGACTTTATGAATGGAACAGAACCGGTGCTATTAGTTGGGGTGGATATAATTATATTTGATATTGGATTGTTTCATTCCCTGTGGGGCATTGAAAGTTGCGTGGCTCAACACTTAGATGGCGGTTATGGTCGTTGTGTGTGGTGCATCTGTCACACTCTAGCTTTTCTCATCTGCTTACCTTTTGCGTTCATTTCACGGCCAAGACCGTACTACCTTTGGCCTCTTCTAATTCAAGTAATTATTAATTACCTAATTAAATAAACAATGTACCTTGTAAATAATTGAATCCGTTGGAGTAATTATTACCTATAACTTACTAAAATCAACTTTTGCAACAACATTTTTGCGTATTTTATTGTATTGCTGATAAGTATGCATTAAATTTTGAACTATTTGTTAGGACATATTGATTTTATCTATCGCAATTATACACGTATTTTAATAATTTTCGAAGTAGCGTGTAAACTGTAACCACTATGTCATAGCTCCAACATTATCTTATAATTTATTACTTTTTGAGTTTGCTATATACTGCAAAACAGTAAGTTATTTAAAAGTTAAAATACTGTGCAAGCAATGTCGTCTCCCAATGTAAATTTTATTTAACACATTTTTACAGTCACTCAGACTGCAAATTGATAAAGTCATTTTTATGCATTTTTGTAAATATTATCTCAAGTTATTTTATATTTCATTTACGAATTATTCTAAGAAATATTTTTAGTAGCAATTGAAATTATTATTTTTTTAGCAAAGTGCTTATGGTGTTGGCTTGCTAATACTGAGTTTAGCAGCTTTGCCACGAGTCCTTCCAACATTTACCGGTGATCAAAACAGTGCTTCTGTTCTTTCTGTATTAATTTATGCTATTGGTGTATCACTCAATTTTTTTTTGGTATATTTTTCTTTGATTAATACAATTTTAATGCTCAAATTAAGTATTTAAAGTTACTTTATTTTATAAGTTAAAGTCAAATCCTCCAATGGGTCATATTTGAAGGAAGCGTAAATAACAAATTTTTGAATTCTACGATTGCTTTACTTATTTTCATTACTTAAAAAATAATTTTTATCTTGCGTAAATAGCAAATAAAATAAAATTAGAAAAGATAATTTTTTCAATTATTTTTTTATTAAAATTATTCAGATTCGGATAATTTAAGAACATTCTTTAGCTATATATTTATTGGCATTGGTATTGGCATGTAGAAGCAATGTGGGACTCAGCTCGAAAGTTACGTCCTGACCGTGTTATCTTATGCAGCAAAGAAAACAGTCGAAAGAAACCCTTTAAACACGTGAGCACAATGGATGTTTCTGCACAGCAGAATTCAACCAGTAACCCATCTGTACAAACTCAATGTGTAATTTCACGACCACTTCATTTAGGATTACGTGAAAAAACACAAAAGCAAACAACAAAAAAATTAAATAAAATACAAAAATCATTGAATGGTAATAATCATAGTCTTCAGAGATTAACAGGACAGTGTTATCAAGAAGGCTGCATGGAAATCTTATTGAAAGATCAAAGAGATAACAACGATCCACAGCAAATTTTTAATCAAAATCAAGTCAAAAATAATAGTAGTAATAATGAGAGGGATTCTAATGCTGTATCTGCAAATGGTTATTTACCTTATAACATGTACGCACGACATTCTTACTTTTCTTCATCGTCCTCATCAGATTTTTCTCAAATACGTAACAAGCGTCCTTCTTTGTATAAAATGAACGTTCCACGACATTATGATACTCAACAAATGCCTTTGACAGTACAATCATTAGAAGGAAATTCTTGCAACAGACAACTCACACGTTATTTTAGTGCCAAACAATTCGTACTTGATTAGAATTTTATGCATGTACAGATGGAATTTATGGATGAAAAGAAATTTATAATAAATTTACCCTTTGCGTTCAGAAGAAAATCTATTCCAATCGTAAGGATTAGTTGATTCAGATATTCACTAATACAAAAACGAGAAAGTGATCCATATATTAATATGACTGCTTATTATGCCTTGAAAGTAACAAATTTTGGAATACTAACAACACGATAAGTCGTTTAATAAAATATCAGCAGTAATCAAAAAATGAGTCAAACACCTAATTAATTATTCTTAGGTATAATTTAAAAAGACTATGAAACTGTGAGCAGTTGAAATGAATAAAACGGTTTTATGCGCAAGACGGTATCGTTAAGGATAATCACTTTGATGCTCCAGGCATTAAATTATGAATCCTCATGTGCAATCAGTGATGCAAGCTTCCAATTTGTGAATTGAACCTCAAAGTGACAAGTTAATGAATTGCATTTCAAATTTCATTCTGACTTGCTTCTTTCTCATAACAAAATTTGCTAATTGTTTTGTTTGTTCATTTACATATTTAAACTTCATATTATCATATAAATGCCATTAAACTTGGATAATTTCTTGCAAAATAGTTTGCAATGCTATCAAAAGTGAACAAAAATAAAGATAAGGCTATAATGCAATTCTAAAATATGCCGAAGATAAAAATGCAATAAATTAATACAGTAATAATCTTTGATAAAATTAAATATAAACAGATGCTAAAATCTAGCATGAAAATATATAGCTAAGAATTTCTTCGAATATCACTGCATTAACTTTCTCAAAAAAAAAATAACTAGTTTTTAAGAATACTAATGAAATATTAATATATTGATTATCAGTATTACTAATTATTTGATATTTTTTATCGTTATTGATGGTTTGATGAAAAGCGATAAAATATATTCTAA